CTTTCCCATTGCAATACGCATTTTAATTTCCTGGCTACTGGTACCGAGAGTGCTGGCTGTGGAGCCAAGCCGACTAAAGTTGCTAACAATCTCAATCTCTTCACCATCCATCCTGATGCTGCCAATTGGTCCAGTGGTGAGAATCTTTGTCTTCTTGAAAATTTATGATCCTATGATTAACCCCTGCCCCCTGCCCATCCTCTCACCCTCTGCTTCCACCCTCCCCTTTGGATCCTCATACTCATTCTACAATAATGGTTTGATACAGTATTTGTCCTTATGGGACTGAGTTAGTTCACTCAGCCTAGTACTCTCTTGTCCCTCCAAAGTTAGGTAGTAATTTACAAAATCATTGCCCCTGAATTCTGCTTAGTATTCCATTGTGTGAATGTACCATAATTTCTCAATCCATTCAGTTGTGGTTGGACATCTGGGCTGTTTCCATGTTCTTACAATGGTGAATAACACTGCTGTGAACATTGGTGTACAAGTCTCCATTTGTGCCTCATTTCTCATTTTCTCAGGGTATATTCCAAGCAGTGGAAAGCTGGGTCATATGGAATCTCTAGGTTCAGTTTTTGTGGAAGCACCAAACTGCCTTCTAGAGTGATGGTGTCATTTTACAATCCAACTAACAATGTAAAAGCGTTCCTAACTTGCCACATCTCTGACATTTATTACTTGCTGTCCTGTTAAACTTTGTCCCTGCTACTAATGTGAGATGGTATCTCATTGTGGTTTGGATTTGCATCTCTCTTATTACCAGTGATTCTGAACCTTTTTTATGTGTCTTTTTGCCATTTGAATATCTTCCTCTGTGAAAAGTCTTTGCATGTCTTTTGCTCATTTTTGTAACTGGGTTATCAGCTTTTTTCTTGTGGAGGACCAGGAGTATTCTGTCAACTTTATTATGAGACCCTTGTCTAAGATGGATATTGCCAAATATTTGTTCCCCATCAATAGGTTTTCATTTCACCCTGTAGGAAAAAGTTTTTGATGCACACAGGGACTTAATCTTTAGAAGGTCCCATCCATCAGTTTTATCCTTTTCAGATTGAACATTTCTGGCTGTTTTTCAGTCTTTTTATCCCATAAATGAGGACTTCTAAGCTTGATTCCAATTTATCTCTTATGAACTTTATGGTTTTGGGCTTTACTCCCAGGTCTCTGATGCACCTAGAGTTGATTTTTGTGTATAGTGTGAGATATGGATCCTGTTTCAGCTTTCTACAGTTAACAGTCCAGTTATGCCAGCACCATTTGTTGAAGAGGTTGTCACTTCTCCATCTGATAGGTTTTATTTCCTTGACTAATATTAGTTGACTATAGATATCTGGGTCTATTTCTGGGTTCTCAGTTCTATTCCATTGCTCTGTGTGCCTGTCATTGTACCAGTACCATGCTGTTTTATTTACTACTGCTGGGTAGTATGTTTAGAGGTCAGGGAGTGCAGTGCCTCCGAATTCATTTTTGTGTTTCAAAAGTGCTTTGCTTATTAAAGATCTCTTCCCTCTTCAAATAAGCTTGACAATTTCCCATTTGATCTCCTTGAAAAATGAACTTTGTATCTGTATTGGGATTGCATTGAACATGTAGATTGCTTTTAATAGGATTTTCATTTTCACAATCTTGAGTCTTCCTATCCATGAACAGGGAACATATTTCCATTTCTTTAGGTTTTTTATTGTGTCTCATAAAAATATTCTATAGTTTTCTTTGTTTAGGTCTTTTGTATCTCTAGTTAGGTTGACTCCAAAGTATCTCAGTTTGTGGTTGGCTATTGTAAGTGGTATTGCTTAGTTTCCTTCTCTGAGTTCTCTTTGTTACTTCAGAGGATTCCCCCTGATTTTTCAATATTGATCTTATATCCTGTCATTCTACTAAACTGGCCTACTAACTAACAGGTTTGTCTGTTGAGTGTTTGGAGTTTTCTGTGTACACTATCATATCATCTACATATAGTGATAGTTTAACCATCTCTTTGCCTATCTGGATGCCTTTTATTTCCTTCTCTTGTCTTACTGCACAAGCAAGCACTTCCAATATAATATTGAATAGAAGTGGTGACAGTGGGCATCCTTGTCTGGTCTCTGCTCACAATAAAATGCTTTTAGTCTTTCTCCATTGAGAATGATATTGGCTCTTGGTTTTGCATATATACTTTTCACTATGTTGAAGAAGTTATCTTCTATTTCAATTTTGATGAGTGTCTTAATCAGGAAGGGGTGTTAGATTTTGTCAAATGCCTTTTCTGCATCATTTGCTAAGATCATATGGTTCTGTTATTTGCTTTGTTAATTATGGTAAATTACATGGATTGTTTTTCTGATGTTGAACCATCCTTGCATTACCTGTTATGAATGCCACCTGGTCATGAAGAATTCTTTTTTGATGTTCTTTTTTATTCTATTGGCTAGGATTTTGCTAAGGATTTTTGTATCTGTTCATGAGAGATGTTGGTCTGTAGTTTTCTTTTATGGTAATATCTTTGCTTGGTTTTGTTACTAGGGTAATGCTTACTTCATAAAATGTCTTTGGGAGTATTCCTTCTTTAACTAGTTTTTAAATAACTTAAGTAGAATTGGTGATAAGTCTTCTGATTGTTTAGTAGAATCCAGCCATGAGGCCATCTGGTCCAGGACTTTTTTTGGGGGGGGGGCGGGTGGAGGGAGGAGTATTTTTATGACCTGCCCAATTTCTTCTTTTGTGATGGGTCTGTTCAAGTGTTCTACTTCAGACCATGTCAATCTGGGTAAGTCATGAGTTTCAAGGAATTTGTCCATTTGAATAAAGTTTTCAAATTTATCCAAGTATAGCTTCACATAATATTCCAACATTATAGATTTAATTTCCTCTGGTTCTGTTGTGATGTCACCCCTATCATTCCTTAATTGAGTTATTTGTGTCTTCTCATTTTTTTCTTTTGTTAAGTTTCCCAATAGTTTGTAAATTTTATTGACCTTTTCAAAAAATCCTTGTTTTCTTTTTTCTATCTCATTGATTTCAGCTCCTGCTCTTATAATTTCCTTTCTTCTAGAGTCTGTGGGTTTAAATTGTTTTTCTATTTGATGAAAGTGTTGAGTTAGATTTTTCTTCATTTTTTTATGTGTTTGCCTATTGCTATGACCTGCCTCCTGAGGACTGCCTTAGCTGCATCCCAGAGGTTTTGGTACATTATATTTTCATTATCGTTTGTTTTGAGGAACTTCTTAAAATTTATTCTTTATTTCTTCTATAACCCAATCGTGTTCTGTACTCCTTAAGAGGCCCAGGCTCATGTGCTGGGACACAGCATGCCAATTAGTAGAACCAGTCCCCCTTCCACCTAAGGTATAAAGCTTTTAAACAGCCAGGAAGCCAGAAGCCGAGCCTGTCTGGACCACACTGCAGGCCTCCTCTAAGGCCTTTTCTCGTTCCTAGACATGTCCAACTGTTACTGAACGCAAGGGGTTCTTTCCATAATCAGTCGCCAGTAAGACAAACGGACTGCAATATCCATAAATGCACTTTATTACACAGATCTGGGAGACAGCGAGTCACCTCTAAGACTGCCTCCCAGTCTGGGAGTGGTCATGGCCTTATATACTAGGGTGAAACTCCAGCTCATTTAACAATGCACTTTTGTTAGTAAAAAAAGGTAATTTCTACATCTGAAAAGGACAGTTCCCATCAGTAATTCAGGAAGGCCCCAGTTCTCCTCCTGGTAAACAGGCAGATTAAGACACTGTTTACATATGACTGGAGAACCAGCTTCACCAGCATCTAGGATAGATGCATTTCCTCTTCTGGTAAACAGATCAAACTACATGACTAAAGACAGGACACAGAGAATTCAGAGGCTAAGCAACTAGTTTTGCAGGCTGAAGAAAAGTGACTATAGTTTTATAAGTGATACCTATATAGAGAATTCTGAACTTATTAATACCATCCTATCACAACCTATGGGACACTTACAGCCACTAATCTTCTTAAGAGACAGCAATCTGTCACCTGTCAAGGTCTCTCTTGATGTCCGAATACAGGAGGCTCCAAACACTTAAGATGGGGCTGTTCTCCAGAGTAAGTGTGACTGAAGATACAACAGTGACTTCTGAAGTGTCCATTGAAGGATTAAAATTAAAATGGTCCCTATAGTTCTCAGCTGAATTAAACTCAGGTTTCTATAGTTCTCAGCTAAGTTAAACTCAGGAATTTTTTCCATTGTCCCGGGTAGAGCCCCACACCCAGTGTTCCAGGAAGAAAAGTCTGATCCCAGGGCAACAGTATTTCGAGAATGGCTAACTACAGGGTAGGGCAAATAAGCAGATGTTTCTCGACTGATAACCCATGTGTCTTGTGCTTTTCCACTGCCCTGGAGTTTGAACTCATTGTATGCTTAAGAATTTGTGAAACCACCCTATAGTTAATGTTCCAGGAAATAGCTAACCACAAAAGTTAGGCAAATATACTAATGACTTAAGATCTGTCTAACTGCCACATGTGCTACGTGACTGCCACATGTGCTACGTGCAAATATGCTGTGTAAACCATGAGCGAACACCGAACCAATGAATTCAAACTGTGCTTTCATCACCCAATGAGAAGCTGATACCCAGTTGTATCCCCCTAAAGTGTATAAAAAGAGCCAACTTTGTCTGCTCAGGGTCGACTCCTCTATCTCCTGCGAGAGATACGTGTCAGCCCGGAGCTCTGCAATAAACCTCTCCTCTTGCTGTTGCATCAAGCCGGTGTCTTGGAGTCTTGGGTCTTCGCCGTCCACTCGGGATAGGACCACCGGTTCGGGGGGGGTCTTTCATCCATCAGTCAGAGAAAACACTGCACCTTTAAGAGATGGCCAGGATGCTGCACAGATGGGGCAACCAAAATGGTTATCTGAGGAAATGGTGGCAGGAACCAGCATTGCTAATTTGACAGCTTTCCCAGTGCTACTACTGAGCCATTAGCGACAGTAGTTGTATTCAAACTACTTGGTGTCTCACCAGTAGCTTGTATTTTAAAACAGACTAAATAAAACACTGGCAAAACAATCCCAACCAAGAGCATGATGAGAACAGCATTCCACCACTGGATTCCACAGTCTGTACCATCTGTTGGCCTCTTCAGAGTAGCAGGCAACAGCAGCTGACTAGAAGTCTCAACACAGGAACTTTTATGCAGAAAGAGTTCCGACTGTACCACACTCTCAATATTCTAATCAATCTCCTTAAAAGAAATCCGTCAGCTGGCTGGACTGGACACCAGCACCAGCTTGACCCGGGTCAAGCAGCTCCACGCAGGTCACCCTGGTCTCTGAGGATGGGATCAGGAGGGGGTGTTAGCCTGTTGTGGGTCTCTGTTAGGATCCCATAGGTTTTCATGGGAATCTTAACAGATTTTAAAGCATATAAGTCCTGTTCTTGGATGAAGTTGTTTACTTTCTTGATACCTGCCACCTAGGGATGCCACAAAGAACACCATCATTAAATATGTAAACTTCATACACAAAAAGTTGTCCTGCCCCTCCTCCAGATAGTCCAACCTCAGAGACACAATTAGTTTAGCTGAATAACTTTATCTTGGCAGTACCTTAGTCTTAATAGAAATCTTAATAATAAAATTTTCCTATAGTTTACAAGTTTGAACAACAAGTTTTGGAAAATAACTTTTAAAAAAATCTATTTTAACCATTATTGTAGAACATGTATAAGGATTCAAGAGTGGGAGGGTGGGAGCAGAGGGGTGAGGATGGGTGAGGTGGAGGGAGGGGTGGGTAAAGGAAGTGGGAAAGAACCAGCTGAAAAATAACGTATATGAACTTTGTAAGTAAACCAGTATAAAATTTTTATTTAAATTAAAATCTACCTTAAATGCTTTTAGATGAAACATAATCAAGGCACAGTAGCCTTTTTCTCATTGTAACTTCTAGTTATTACTTTAACTTTGAAAAAACAGTGCCCCCATCTGGCTGACTTCCCTATCATCAGACCCTGGCCAAGAGCTGCCCAAAACACCCCAGCCGCAGGGCCTTGCAGGGGATTCAGCCTCAAGCTGACCTTCCACCAGCTTTCAGGGCACATGATGGGACAGTGCCCATCCTTCTCCCATGGCACAGCACACTGCCCCACGGATCATTAACAAAGCACTTTCAAGGTCTCTGCTAATTCTACAGACACACTCAGGCCTCCCTTACCTGCAAGGAAGTCAAAAGCTGAGTGCCCTGATAGCCTGACCACATACAGTATTTCTTTCCCAGAAATACTATATGTCTCATAAATGTATTTTTTTAAATAAAAGAGACCTACTAACGTAACAATTACCACCATTTAATTAATTTTGGGAATTTCAGTCACTAGGGCTCTTTACAATACTTCTTTTTAGTAATTTAATTTTCTTCTTTCAAGAGAGGAGTTTATTCCAGAATGCTGTATGAAAGAACAATGCTAGGTAGAGTGGGAGAATCAGGACAGCTGGCAGGGCAGTCCGAGGTGTCTAGTCCTTACAGGAAAAAACAGGGAATGCTTCACGAATTTGTGTGTCATCTTTGTGAGGGAGCCATGCTAAGCTTCTCTATATAGTTCCAGTTTTTATTATATGTGCTGCTGAAGTGAGCCCCATACAATACTTGCTAACATAAGTAAAAACACATAGGGAGTCACAAAACAAAACTGGAAGCTAAGGACTAAAAAATTAACAACACTGTGAATTTTACCAAGTAACAAAATTCCTTATGAACTCTTTTCATAATCCATATTTATCCTTAAGATATAAGGAGTGGAAGTAAGATGTAAGATTTATCCTTAAGGTAGAATTTTAAAAGGTAAACCCTTCCCTCAAGCTAATATTTGAAAACTGAAAGCATCAGAGATAGGTTCTAATGCTAAATTCACTTAAACTAGAGTGCAAATACTTTCAAACAGAGCCTTACCCAAATCAATCATCTCTGTTTTAATTATTTAAAAACTGCTTTTACCATGTAATTGAATTGGAATAGGTGATATTTTCATTATGTCCTAAAACTAATCATTGTACAAGATTCTTATGACCCTTCTGTGTTTTCTTCTAATAAACCAACAGCAAATCATCTACTTCAAATAGAAAAACTGATGACTTATAGGAAACTTTACTCATTTATTAATCACTTTATTGATATATTAGACATGAACATTCCAAGATGTTAGTATTATTTAAAGACCTCTACATATCACTGGAGACCAATTTGTTTATTAAAAAGAATACAATACACAAAAATATGTTTAGATATTTGGATCTCATTAGATAAGTGACTGATATTTTAATAATAATTTTTTTAAAGCACCACTTATGCTGCCTTAGTTATACAGCCTTAGAAAAGGCCGTAGAATTTTGAAGCACAGTGTTAGCAAAATTAAATACAGGCAGTCCCCAGGATAGTAATAAGATGCATTCTGTGCCTTTATTGATGTGCTGGCCAGTCAGAATAGGTGCATATAGTTCTTATTTAGCTTTCATGAGTGCAAGAAAAGGCTGGAAGCCGCCTTTGTGATTTAAAAGTACATACATCAAGAGATTGGTGGACGATTTATCAACAATCTGCGTTATGCGAATGATACAACCCTGCTTGCTGAAACTGAGGAGGACCTGAAGCACCTGCTGCAGAGTGTCAAGGACTGCAGCCTGCAATATGGATTGAGGCTCCATGGCAAGAAGACAAAGATTCTCACCACTGGACCAATCGGCAGCATCAGGATGGATGGTGAAGAGA